GTAGCAGCAATAAAAGGCCCAGGTAATGAATTGTGAATGACTCACCAGGGCTTTTGTGGTAGTTAAGGGAGTACCATTTTGCAGAGGAGAGCAAAACCTTCTCACAACTATGACTTCAGAGTGGCTCCTCTTATAAAGGCCCCTTTGATTTGTTGACCACATTGACTAATTTGGATATGAAAAAGTAGAGCTGGAGTTGCTTTTCCGAAGAGGGTAGAGAGCTGAATTTGTGGTGCATAGCAGAGTAAAAAAATGGAATTCCCAATGGTAATTTAGGAAGTTGGTAATGAGGAAGAATCATGAGAAGAAGCAGAAGCCAAAAACTAACAGGCTATAATGTGGGATAAAATAACCATTGTGTGGGGTGGGGTGGGGGGTCAGGCCCCAAGGGAGTGTCCTCAGAGGCTTTTTAGTAACAGTTTATATCAACTTGATATTATTTATGTTGCTGTAATTTTAACACCACTTTCATTTCCCAAAATTTTTATGCAATATTGAATATGTAGAAATGAAGCAAAACACTTACTGTGGTCATTATGGTCAGTGGGGATTAAAATACGGACCTTAATCATAGGTTTACAACATGCATGTTTAGAGTCTGGAACCAAACACATCCATAAAGTGCTAAACCTCCATTCCCTACCCCTCCATCCAGGAATTTTCAGTGACCTTGCAGATGACTTTGGGCTCTCACAGATGAAGTGAGGTTTCCAACTGACTTTATCTGGATCTTGGATACAGGTTTCTGTCTATCCATAGACAGTTGGATACATGGATGAAAAACAAAAAAGTGGGAGGAAAAGAAGGAAGGAGAAAGAAGATAGTCATGCACAGCTCATGGCAGGGTCTTGTCCTGAGAAATTAGCCACTAGGAAATTTTGTTCTTGTATGAACATCAGAGTGTACTTACAAAAGTGAAGATAGCCATGACATCACTAGGAGATACAGTCTTATGGGATCAGTCATATGTATTGCCTGTCATTATCCAAAGCATCAACCAATTGTGCCTGACTCTGTGTGTGAGAGAAAAATTTTTTCACATATCAAGTAAAAAGGAAACACCAGTAAGATGGCCTTTTTCTTTCAGACATTGTGAGCTGGTGTCTCCCCTAGGTCACATACTCATTTTTTTAAAGGGTTATACTACACTCTTCATTTTGGTGAGTCATGCCACTGTATACCTACAATTTGATTTCCATCTCCACTCTGCCATGGCCTTGCTCTCACTGAGATCATCAGTTCAGAGAACACTTACAAGCTCTAGGACTGGCTAAGTCATTCTTGGCTATTGACTATTCCTTCTGTAGATCAGCTCTCTGGAATATTTCTTTCCTCTGATTTCTCCCACCCTCTCTACTCACACTCAATCTCTGCTCTTCACATTCTTCCTGGGTGACACCATCATCCAAACCCTGTCTCTAAATGCCACTCATACTCTGAGTTTCAAATTCTTACTTTCAGGAGAATCCCACCCTCATGACTGTAGGACCTACATATTCTAGCAGACACGCATCTCAGACACAGTGTACAGGGGTGCGGGGCTACCGGGGATCGAATTTGGATTCTTGCACTTGCAGGGCAGGCAGCAAAACCACTGAGCTAAATCCCCGGCCCCACAGTGTACTTTTAACCAAATCCATCTTCCTCCTCCACTACTGGTCCCTGCAATGTTGCCTGTTCCATTTTGTGGTATTTTTGAGTTACTCAAATGGCACAACCATGTATGTGGATGTCAACATAAACTACCCTCTTTTGTTTTCCCCTGTGACTTCCATCTAATTAGTAACTAAACTCTGTAGAGTCAAGGATTTTTTTGGTTTCATTCTATTGGTTCCAACCTGTGCCCACCTGCACAGCATCTCAGTTAAAGTCTGCATCACTTCATTCTTAGATCGCCACAAGGGTGTCCTAGCTGGTCTTTGTGCCAAGCCAGGACCTCTCTGCATCCAGCCTTCTCTGGATTACACCAGTCATATTTTTAAAACCTATTTAAACACCAAGCCACTCCCCCTCTTGCAATCCATTGATGCTTCTCATGTCATTCATAGTTGAGTGAACATTCCTTAGCTTACACCAACTTGTTCAGGTCAGGTTCTTTGATTTTTAGCCCATCGCCCATCGGCCTTTTTTTTTTTTCAGATATAGAAAGTTTAACCACTTTTTGAAATGCCCTTACTGATTCTTGTTCAGATAGGTATACAATTTGGCTGATACAAACTTGGTAAATATGGCAATTTGGTTGAAACTTAATTTCCAGTTTTAGTTTACCATGATGATATCTCACAACTATTATCAGGGAGATGGATTTTTGGCTGTAATTTTTCATCCAGTCATTTCTAAGCCTTTGGAAACGTTAAAGATTAAAGGAACCAAGTAATAAAGGCTGAGTTGGAACATCCAAAATACCCAGCACTATAGGACTAATCATAGTAATTTAAATATTCAACAATTGCTGAAATTGCTTAAATAAAAGTTAATGATGATATGTAGGCTATCATCCCCTTTTGTAAAAATATGTGTTCAGATATGCATTAATAAGGATTTAAAAATATACATGCTATAAGGTTATCAGTAGTTCTTGCACATGGATAGAAATACAGTACTTTTCTTTGACTTATGTGTATGTTCTGACCTTTTTAATGATGACATACTATTTTTGTAAAAAGAAAAAGCTATACAGAAATTATAGAAGTCCTGTTCTTAACCCACTAAAGTTATCAATACAGGAAAAAACCCACTAAAATACTTTTAAACCAATTGTTATTTTTACAGAATTACTGTACATTAAATCCTATTTTTTTAACCATTTTATAGAATTTCCAACTGAAATGTTCTTCCCTTCTCTAGACCTTCTTTATTATTCTTATGACTTAAAAGTCCACACTAAATGCCCCCTTCTCAGATAAGCTGCCTGTACTCCGTATCTGCTCTAGGTCAAGGGTCTATGATAAAGACTGGTTCACCGGCAAAATCCATCCAACACCTACTTTTCTATAGCTCATCAACTGAGAAGAGTTTTTACTCCTTTGGAAGGGTTGATTTCTTTAGGATTCTCAATGCTTTGAGGTAAAGAACACTTTCTAGTTCACTTTGATCTAACTAGCATGGAGCAGAGTGCCTCATATATTAATAGCCACTGGATAGATGAACTCCCAAGTGCATGGAGTAACACAAGCTCTCTCCTTGCCTTAGAGGTTCATGAAGATGCCACCTTATCTACTCAGATCACTGTGTATCTCCTGTGTCCAGAAGAGTACCTGGAATATGGCAGATATTTTTCACAGAAAACATCTGTGGAAGTTCATCTCACCAATGAGAGTAGCTTACTTCTTAATTTCTTTTCTTCACTTTTTGTATCATGCTATTTGGTGATTAATGAAAATAAAGCCCACTTTAAGAGCTTCACAGAAACAAAGAGGAAGTAATTATGAGATCTTTTCAAGAACATATTGACATACCCCAGTCTTTAGAGTATCTCATTTTACACAATGCAGCCTGTTACTCTGTTCCTTTCACTCACTGGTAGTAATGACCTCAGAGCAGGTGTTAAATCCAGATCCTGCTAACACTGAGTTATTAAATATCTATGACTGCAGACCCCTGAAGCAGAGTGAGACTCTACATTCTGGCCCCATTTCACATCAGGATGAGGTGTATTTTCAGAGATCAACGTGAACATATAAATCACAGTCTAAATGCTTCATCTGGTCTTGCCCAGGTTTCCATTAGTGAGTTGAAAGCTCTTTATGGAAGACCAACTAATTAGTTTTCCTACCAGAGCTGTGAGTTTGCAGGAAGGATGAACTGGGATCCCTGTTCTGGTGACTACTGATTATTCCACTACATTGTGACCTTGTATATTCACAGTACTGGATCCTGCATAACATATCCTAGAAATGTTTTTCCTTAATGATTAATGTACTCAGTGTCTGAGCATATCATGCATGTCGTCTTATGGATATTACAATATTTTGCTTTGTGTAATGAATGTGAGGGTCTGTATCTTTCTTTAAATTTTATGAGTGCCTGGTAAGCACAATCTGCACTCTTCTAAAGTACAAAGGCAGCCTTTAATAAGACAAAGTAGAAAATAGCTTCTCAGGGACTTCCAAGGAAAAAGCCTGGCTAGTCTCGCCAGCCCAGCTACCTCCTAGAACACCAGGGTGGTCCATTCCTTCCTCACTCAGGAGAGCTGCCATATATCCCGTGTCTGGGACTCCTCTATGGTATTACCAGTGACCAGTGTGTCTGCAAACATTTGCTCCTCGGCCTCAACAGAGTTGGAAGCCATTTGCCTTTCACTCCTCCCCTTCTGTGTAGAAGAGCCCTGTCCTCATACAAGGATCAGGAGAAAGAAAGGCCTTAACTTTGTGTTCTCAACACACACCCAAAGACACACACACACACACACACACACACACACACACACACACCCCATATGCTTTAAAAATCTAAACTTTCACTTCTTTTTTCTTTGAGCAAGAATGAACATGATGGTGAAACAAGTAAAGTCACAGTCGAGGGAAATAGCGACCTCCGCACTGGTTCTAAGAGTGGATGGCCTTGGAGACATTTAAGTCTGGGTGTAAGGCGAGAAGGGCAATGACACAATGACACTGAAGAGCCTGAGCTTTGCCATCAGAAATTACCAGTCTCATGTGTGACCCCAACCTTTCTGTGCCTCAGTGTCTTCGTCTATTGTATAGGGTTGCATCTTTTGAGTTTATGAAACATACATGACAAAACTCAGTACAGAAAATGTCACCTAACTCCCCTCATACAGAGCTATAGCACTGACCGCTCACAGGCCATTGAAATCCTCTTTAATGATTTAAATGATTACATAATTTCTTCTTATTCAGTAAGAGGATGGCTGAACAATAAAGACAGACCAGAAGAAACAGACTCAAGAACCACTGGAGAAATTTTCTAGTGAAATAGAATCCTCTTGATTGAAGATAATCCAACACTCTGTCCATGAAGAAAATATGATTATTGAATGGGTGGCCCAGAAAGCTTACCAAGGCCACTGTTCTAAACTGTAGGACGCAAAGGATAAATTGTTAATCACAGTTAATACAAAGGATTTTAGATGGGATTTATAGCTTTCATAAATTAGCACAGGAGCCCCAGAATGGAGTAAAGATAATCTCTGATAATTCTTTTTCTTATTTGAATTGAGATATTCAGTGACAAAGGGTGGAACAAAATAATAGCTGGGATTGCAAATTCATGAGCCCATGCTCTCGGGTGTATTTGTATTGACATGAGTACAATTTGTATATGGCAAAAATTAATCAATTTTTTAAAAGCCAAAACCACTGGACTAAGCTTTATTTAGGGAATGTTTTGAAAGAGATGGAGTGGTGCATCTTTAACACCAACTCCAAGCTTGCTCAGAATTTTGGGGTCTTCCTTTTCAGGAACTCCCATAGGCCTATTTCTTCCCTGCTAAGAAACTTCCTAACTTTCCACTTTTTTCCTCCAAGAAATAGTTGATTTTAATAATAAATAAATGAACTGATTTCTGACTACCTATCACACTTGTGGAAATACAGGAGTATCTGGCTCTGATATCAATAAATTCAGGATAATGAGCACCACATTCGAATTTTTCCCAACTTTTTACTACCGAAAGAGACTTTTAAGGAAATTACTGATTCCAGTTTTTTTTTCTCTTTTTTTGGTATTGGGAATCGAACTCAGGACCTTGTGCTTGCAAGGCAGGCACAGCACAACTGACCTACATCCCTGGCCCATTGATTCTAGTTCGTACAAAAGAGATTTAGTCAGATTTTCTTGGCCATGAGGAAACAAGTTTAAACAATTTAAACTGCTTTTGGGTGAAAACGTAATATTTTTCATATTTAGAAATGTTATGTACATACTTGACAGATTATCAACTCAAAAAAATATTGGTTTGGCTTAAAAAAAATAAACCTTCAATCCAAATTTATTGGGATTACAAAAATAACAGCACATTTCTATAAGTCATTACAACTCAGAGTCACCAACACATCCAGAGATATGAAGAGGATCTTTAACCACTCCCTGCCCATATAAATCTCATGTCATAAAAAAGAAGTTTATTTTCATATTTACAGAAGAAACACTGATTGTTTCTTAAAATTCTCTTTGGAAATCCTAGGTAGGCTAGCTTTAAAGGCAGGGATCACTTCAAGTTAAAGAAGGTGTGTTAGAAACATCTCACAATGCATGTCATTTAACACCACTCAATAGTTCTGTCGTCTTCTAGAGCCTGTTTTTTATCGCAGAGCTTCCGGAACCTCCACCTACAAAAATAGGGGATTTTCTTTCAATGAAGCAACACAAACAGTAAAGTAAAAAAAAAAAAAAAAAAAAAAAAAAAAAAAAAAAAAAAAAAAAAAAAAAAAAAAAAAAAAAAAAAAAAAAAAAAAAAAAAAAAAAAAAAAAAAAAAAAAAAAAAAAAAAAAGAAAGAAAATCTGTAGGGTCTGTCTCTAGCAGGATTTTCTGAGAAGGACGGAATAAAGATGCATTGTTGCTGCTTGGCATTCCCATTTTATATTATAAAATGGGTTGTAAGCCACTTCTGAAATTTTCAACAAGTTTTTGAGTGCAGATTATACCCCCTGATTCTCTCATTTAAAAAATTGTTTTTTTTGTTGTTGTTGATTTGTTTTTCATATTTGGAATGTCCTAAAGCAGAAGCCTCTCATATGGAAATGTGCTCACGCATGTGCCTGCTCCTAATGTTTCACACTTGCTCTCCCATATTGAAACATCTAGAATATTAATGAGTATTTGGAGAAGCGGGAGACTTTCGTACCACCATGCCGTGGAGGCTGGACTCATTCTTTACACCTGCTCCTGAATGTCTGTTCTGGGGTTACTTACCCTCCTTAGCTGTCTCATGCTGCTTCCCCGAATCGCTTCCATGAGGTTCTCATGAGCTGATCTCTGTGGGGTAGAAGGTCGGGAATTGTCTTCCATTTTCTTCTCTTGCACTGACCTCAGGGAATTTTTTATTTCCTTTAAGATATTGTTGGGCTGTTTCTTAGCCTTTTTGCCTTTTTTCTTTTTCTGTCCATTTTGTAGTGCCCGCTGGGCATGCTCCTGTTGTTTGATGACTTCTGCAATGTTTCGGGTGATGAGCTTTTTCTCTGGCAGTGGAGGAGGAGGAGGAGGTGGAGGAGGAGGCAGCATTTGGGGAGGAAGAGGGGGAGGGGGAGGGGGAGGGGCCACCGTCTGGACTTTCTTGGGGAGTTTGGGGGATGACCAGGGAGAGTGCCTGGGAGATGCATAAGGTGAAGAGCCAGGTGTTCCTCTTTGCCAGACTTTAGTCCTGAGACTGGATCCTCCGTCGAGTCCCTCTTGCTGTTTTTGCTCCTGCATCCGCTTTTGCCTCTGCTTATCCATATTTCTTGTTAAAATGCTCGTCATGCTCATTCTTGGTCCTGGGAGCTCAAAATGGTACCCCAGCCTCAACACTGTGGTGTTCTCCTTCAGCAGCTTGACGATCTCCATTTCCACCTGGCTGCCCATGATGTGCCTCTGGTTGTGGAAGCGCAGCTCTGTGAGCACTGTGTTGTGCTGCAGCGCTCTCATGATGGCCAGGATCCCCTTGCCAGTGATAAAGTTGGACTCCACGTTCACACTGGTGATGTGCTCGTTGACCTCGAGCATTTCTGCGATGGCTTTGGCTGCATTGTCGTCAGCATGTGTGTTGGCCAGGCTGAACGTCTTTACCACCGTGTTGTCCTTGAGGGCTTCCGCAAAGCGGGTGAGGGTTTGTGTTGTGATGTTCTCTATATTGTTCAAATTGACTTCTGTGGTGTCAGGGTCGTTGTTTTTAATTTTTTCCAAAGCATCCTCAATCACAGTAGGATTTCCACAAGGGTGAATGGCAGCTGGGGACTCCGTGTTCCTACTACTGTTGCCATTAGTTAAATTTATATTTTCGACTTGACTCCTAAATATCTTTGGCTGAGAGTTTTCAGAATTGACACTATCATAACTTACAGTTCCATTAATACCTTTTGGGGCTTCAGTACTTTCCTCTTCCTCACTGTCTTCTTCCTCTTCTTCCTCATCTTCCTCCTCGGATTCGTCCTGTTCCTCCTCTTCTGTGTACACGTCCTCAGACACCTCACTGTTACTTTCAGTGAAGATCAGCTCCTCCTCACTCTCTTCTTTGTCTTCTTCTGCAACCTGAGGAGTTTTAGTGTCATCATTAAATGTTTCATTTTAAAGCACATTTTATTTCCAGAATAACACACAGCAAGTGCCATAGAAACCTATAATGACAAAATTAACAATTCCGTGCTTCTGTTCTAATTCAGGTGACCAAGGATAATATTTTGCTGCATAACAATCAATGGCTTTTTCTACCAACAGTTGTTTGGTATAGAGTGTCCAAAATTCAAGCTATGGAATAAAAAAATATTATTATCATTTTGTCAATTTACATAAGTAAGTCAGTTTAGTAGGGGTTTAGAAAACACTTAATACTATATTTCTTTGCTTGACCACAGACTCTATACTGTTTAACTCCTTTTTTCACTGCATTTTAGCCAATCCAAACTTTTCTTCTGAAACCAGCACCCAGTCCTTTCTTTTCTTTTTTTTTGTCTCAAACAAATGACAACAAAAATATATGACACGGTAATTAGTTCCCTTTATTTAATGTTCAAAATTCTTTCCCAGACTTGCTGTAAAAAGCAGATGTGATGTGAGCCGAGTGCTCTCTGCCCCACTTGTCCAGGGTGGACAGAACATAGGGTATCATCTACTCCTTCACATTTATTGATTTCTGTGGTAGGGCCTGGTGCAGGGACTCAGAGACTCCCATCAACCATGAGCATCTACTCAGCACAGCAGGAGGTCAAAGCCCACTCCATGCTGAAAAACATTCAGGTCGCCCTTCTCAGGAATCGTCTTGAAACCTCAGTAAGCTCAGAGTTACAAGAGACGGACTGCAGATCACCAGACAGGAGAGATGGGCATCCTTGACACTCGCTGTATTCTGATCATCAGTGTGAACCAACATAAAATGGTAGATAACCTTGAAGTCATTGCCCAGTCTGGTGGTTTTATATTTATTTAGCATGTGTCAATTAAGAGAGGCTTTCAGGTAAACACAGCTTTGTTCTATCTCTATCTTTTCTTGCTGTACAGAGAAATCTAAATGACCCTTTCTTTCTCCTTTAGAAATATTTTTTTTTTTTAAGTCTGGAAAATGTTGGTAGAGTCCAACTTCCTTTCCTGCAGTCTTCTTAGTCCTTTCTCTTTGCCTTCTCTGAAGTCTAGGGTGCTACCTCTTCCCTAAAGTCTTGATTGTACTCTACCCTGGAAAGTGGTTTTTCTGGGGTTTAATTTTTTCCTCTAAGGGGTGTTGCTGCCCAAGGCATGTGGATCAAGATTTGGAAACTGCACTTGTTTCTAGGTTTGTTTGCCCAGTTGCTATCACAAAATAGCCTCCAGTTATCCACTTGTTTGGAGTGGCAGGCACCAAGTGATGGCCTGGGAAGAGGTCAGCCACTCCTGTGATGTGATGACATGTAGTCTTAATTTACTCACTTCTTCGTGTGTGTGTGTGTGTGTGTGTGTGTGTGTGTGTGTGTGTGTGTGTGTGTGTGTGGGAGAGAGAGAGAGAGAGAGAGAGAGAGAGAGAGAGAGTAAATATATGAGGAGAAAGAGGGAGTTTGTGTGTGTGTGTGTGTGTGTGGGAGAGAGAGAGAGAGAGAGAGAGAGAGAGAGAGAGAGAGAGTAAATATATGAGGAGAAAGAGGGAGACCAGCACTGGAGGAAATGGATTAGCTGGAAGAAGGAAAAATTGGAGACAAAGTCTCACACCCACCCTAAATTCCTTTGTGTGTGTTTTTATAACTCCAGTCCATCTAGGCTATGTATGTGCATGACAGTAAGTGTGTTTTTTCATATTTGGAGAAAAGGGGACTGTCTCAAAATCCAAGGTCTATTGCTCTTTATGCTACATTGGCATATTATCCCCTTTGGTGTTTTGGAAACCTTTAAGCTCTATCTACAAGACCTGTATCCCCCTCTAAATATGCTGGAAATACAATATCTGAACCTGTCATTTAGCAAAGCAGAACATGTATCTCTTCTAGAAAGCCTTCTTTGACACTCCCTCAAATTGTCTCTGCAATACGTTTTCAAACACTGCACCACCCCAATAAACTGCCTGTCACATTTATTTTATTTGTCCTTTTTCCAAATAGATGATTCATGGGGAGAGAGCAGTACCCTTGTGTTCTTTGCTCACCTCACCCAGAGTTGGCCTGTAGGAGAGACTCAACAAAAATTTGTTTACTGAAGAGATCTAATTTGACATGGGTTAACAGGTGCTCACAGTGTGGACTAGCCCTAGGAGAGAGTGCTGGTAAGGTTGGTGGGAGTAAGGTGACATTTCTGGTTTGTTTGCCTGAGCCTGAGCGTTTCCCAGGATGCAGGAATTTTAGTTGTAAAATCTAGATTATCCTAGGTAATGTAAGATAGTCCCCTCCAGGTGTGGAGCATCTAGAAATATCTGAAGGAAGAGAGGGATCTAAAGAGAGGATGCGGGAGGGTGCAAAATACAAACTTTGCCTCCTTTAGAAATTATCTGGGGTGGGTGGGAACAGATCTCCTGTATTGCCTGCTTTGGAGTTAATCCTGGTGCTTTGGGGAACAGAGGAGGGAAGATGGGCATAGATTCTGTGAGGAGGTGGAGGTGAGGTGGTGAGGGCAGTAATTTGGAGAAGGTGACCAGTGGTCCCTTTGAAGAATAAATAAGGCAGTGGGAAGGAGGTGGCAGCCATTTCTCCTGATCACCTCCCCAGAAACATCACATGAATTAGGAGGTGAGAGGCTTGGTTCTCAGTTCTTTCCTGTTTCTTCTACCCATACAGAACTGGTTGGCTTTAGATAAGTCTCTGGGTTGCAGAGAAAGTACAAGAGTGGAGTTGTTCTTCATGCCATCATTTCTCTGTGTGTCGTAATTCCCCGGAGGGCTCCTTAGACCAGAGTTTCTCATTCAGCAGATAGTGGGGAGCCCTAGAAGTCAGAGTTCTCAGCTGTTGCTTCATCTGCTGGTGGAGCACCCACAGATTTGAGAAGGACAGTCTCACGCCAACAGAGCCTAGTTTGAATTTCAGTTCACCTAGATGCTGTTAACCTTCAATACATTTCTTAACACCTCCTAGTCTCAGTTCTCATGTGCAGAAAGGTGGGAAGGAAATGCGATAAGGAGAGGAAACTTATTGGCACCTATGTCTGTGACCATCGCAGGTCCAGAGGTCCCCAGAGCTCAAATGCAGCACACATTTGTGTGAACCCAGATGTGCAGAAGGCTGTCAATCAATAGGTGCTGAACAGGATTTTTATAAACCTTTACAGAGCCAAGTGCCTGACCACCGGGACCCTCAACTCCTCCTCAGTTCCTACTGTGCTGCCTTTCACTTGGGTGGCTGCCAAGCTCCCTCCCCTTTCAGCTGCTTTGAATTTTTTCTCCTGTGGTGGAAATGGATTTACACTCCCCATCAGCAGCCTTCTTCCTTGCACTCCTTGTGACTACAGAGACAGCTGGCCAGTGGAGAGTGGAGTGGGAGAAAAGCTAGCCGCCCGAGAGAGAAATCAAGTTCACCAACAAGACGGCTTCTCTAATTGGGCCGATAAGCCACTGGCAGGGATCAGCAAAATCCTTGGCAGGATCAGCTGGGCCTCATCAACAGCTGACAACAAGCTTTGTCCTTCAGGCCCTGCCATTGTCATGACATTATGACATTAAAATGCCTTTGTGGGGTTATTGCTACACGGGCTGCATGTCTTGGATAGGCAGAGACAATTTTAGTTTTTCTTTGAAGGAAATTCTTTAATAAGTGGAATGAAAATATCATTCAGTTTCATCAAACGTTTGACATTCACTCCCACCTTTTTAAAAAAGGAAACCTCTTAAAATTATGGTTGTGGAGGGTTTGATTAGCTTAACTACTGGCTGGTCACGAGTGTCCCTTCTAATTGCTCAGCACAGGCAGTAACTGCGGTCTTGGCACATTCTGGCTTGGTCCCAGTGGCCTTTCCTGAGATGATTGACATGGACAAAGTTCACACATATCTCTCTGAAAATGTGCCCAAACACCTATCATCAAGATCATCTCACAGTATCTAGATTAGGGTGGTAGAAGGTTTCCCGCTGGCCGGAAGCCATTTTGGTGATTTCAGTAGAATGCAGTGGTTTTAAATTATCGCTCTTGACCTGTGTTCTTCCACAAGGTCGGGACTTTTTTTTCATATATTAATATCTTACTGTCATAATGACTTTCCCAGACCATAGTCTTTCAATCTCCTTCTGGTAATGACGCATGTGGAAAATTCAAAATAACTGTTTACTGGGAAGTACATAAGAGCTTGGTAGACCTGAGCTGTAATATGAGCACACCTTCTGGCCTCAGAATCACCATCATATAGACAGATGGCTCCTTAGAGACCATCTGCATAGGCATACTTAACCTGGGTCCTCAGATGGCTTTCAGTACTTTGAAATTCTATGCAAAAGTATGGGTATATTTGCACATGTGCAGTTTTCTTGAGGAAAGTCTAGATTATGTCAGAATTTCAAAGGGGTTCTTGATACACACACACACATGAGAGAGAGAGAGAGATGAGAGAGAGACAGAGACAGAGAGAGAGAGAGAGAGAGAGCCCTATTGAATGAACTTCCTTAGAAGACAAATGGAAAGCTAATCCTGAAGAACTGAAAATCTGTTCAAAGTCCAACAACTTGGGGACAGAGCAAGACTAAAAGTAAGGCCCCTTGACCCTCAGCCCCGTATACTTCCTACTACCCCATATTTCTTTTCTGGAAGCAGAACTATTTTTGTTGTACTCACTATTGCAAGGAAAACAATAGTAATAAATGTACTTAGCTTTTTTAAATTGTATGAGAAACAGATACTATACCACATCACCAACTTACAGCTCAAGCAACACTTATTTTTGGCAAAATATTTAAACTCATATGTACTGGTTGTGAATTATTGTCTTCTCAAGGTTCCAACTTTTAGTCAACCATAAAGCCCCAGCTAAGATTTTTACTTATGATTCACTGGGTGACTGCAAGAGTTACATGCCTGTTGCAGGGTGAGAAATGTTTCGGTAATGGATACAAATAAGTTATAAGGAAGTTAAAGTGATAGGGAATGAGAGTTAGAGAAAACAAAGGGGCCTTGGTTTAGGGTGAGGGAATGGGTGGTGGGATTGATTAGCCAAAGAAATGTCCCAAGAGCCTACCTTTCCACACTCCCCCAGCCTCTCCTTCTCCAAGAGTTTTTGGGACTCCTTTTCCCAATAGGCCATCAGTGCCTCTCGGCTGAATGTCCCTGTGGGCGTTTTCTCAGTCAGACTCTTTTGCCTTAGTCCCACAGGAAGGTTGCGATCAGGCTCAATATCTTCCAGCTCCCTCTCCAGCTCCTTCAGCTCCTCAGCTGACAGGGAGGCCAGGAGTTCATCCTCATCAATGGATTCATATTTACTAAGTCCTCTTCGGTAGCCAAAGGTAGACATGGTCCCTGCTTCGTCAGACCTATAGGTTACTGGTAGAAGCAGGCATTCAAGACAGCCAGAGGCAGGCAAGGAAGCAAGTGGGAAAGCTAGGCAGCAACTGGTGCTAGGAGCGGCTGCAGAAGCCTTTTAAGCGTGGTGATGTAGGGCTGTGACAATGCAAGGAGGGTGAAAGCATGGGCTGTTTTAAGCATCAGACGTCAGCTAGACATTTGAACACAAAGAATGTCACATCAGTGGTAGATGGAGGTCTCAGAAGCAGCAGGGATTATTAACATAGTGGCCAGGGCCATATTTAGCTGAGCCTGATAGCTCCTGAGGACAGGCAGAGAGTGTTTCAGATAGAGAGTGATATAGTTCTTCCCATTCTGTGTTCAAACTACAAGGGGAAAAAACTTATTTTGAAAATGACTTGCCACTACTCCACGGCCATGAAAAGATTCTTTCATTATATGGTAGGAGTTCAGGAATGACCCCACAATACCCTATAGGTAGTTATTTTGGTTCTCCTATAAACATACCATGGGTGATATGGATAGAAACAGAGGCTGAAATAATACAGCACTTTATACCTTTATTGTATTTTGCAGCTTACAAAATGTGTTCATATCATTTTTCCTAGCCATAAATCTTGTGAGAGAAATAACATGATCCTCACTACAGATTTTCGCAATTGAGACACCAAGAGATTAAGTGAAATACAGGAAGCCAGACAATGGGAAGGGAAGAAGTGTCTTTCTCCTCTGAATCAAATGGCTTCCTTTTTCCTCCTTTTGCTTATTAGTAAAACAATAGATTCTCAACTAAAACATCAATAATAGTACTGAGTAAGATTTATTAAAAAGTGATATTGTGCTATCCTAGTGCTAATCCCACAATCCTTTAGTGTATATTGCTGCCCGTATTTTACTAATATAGGCCTAGGGAGGTTAAGTAACTTGCTCGGGGGCACATAGCTAAGAAGTGGAAATGTTGGAATTGAAACTCAGATTTGTATCTAAGCTGAAAATTAAAGAGATGCTAATTTGTAATTATGCATATATTTCTGAGAATATGTTAAAATATATACATACTTTATAGGACTTCATGATGATGAAATTTTAGCATTTAAATGTATAAGCATCTATTACAATGTATATACTTATAAAAATAAACTTATCACCACATTTATAATATATGACACTTCTCTCATATACTCAGCAATTGGTGAATATTTTGTAAAATTTGTAAAATTGGATTATGAATAATTTTGCTAAGAACATTTACATGCAAGTCTTTGGCCATATATTTTCATGTATCTTGGGTAGACACTCAGGAATGGAATTACTATTTATATGACAAAGTCACTTTTAAAGAAACTACGAGTATTTTCCAAAAGGTCTGGACCATTTATACTTTCATCAGCAATAGATAAGCATTGATTTTTCTATACCCACATCTGCTATTGTTTGTGTTTCTAATAACAGTCATTTTAGTGAGTGCAAAATGATGTTGAATATAACTTCTTGTGTTTAATGATTATCATATATTTTCTTTTGTAAAATTATTCAAGTTGTTTGCTTTTTTCTAAGTTGAGTTGTCCTTTTACTGATTCTGAGTTATTCATATTCTACACACAAGTTCTTTATCAGAAATATAATTTATATATATTTTTCCCATTCTGTAGCTTGTCTTTTAGTGTCTCTTGAATAGCAAATGTTTTTAGTTTTGGTGGAGTCTAACTCACCATTTCTCTTCTTTTGCTAGCATTTTGGTGTTATATTCAAATCATTTCCTAACCCAAGGTCACATAGATTTACTCTTTTTTTTCTTCTAGTAGCTTTATAATCTTACATTTTTATGTTTAGACTTCTTACCCATTTGACTTAATTGGTATGTGTTTGTCGCGAGCCGGCGACGCAGAGCACTGTCCAGCAGTGTCTCAAACCTGAAAGAGCAGCGGGGTGGAGATGGGGCAGAGAGAAAGGAAGGACGCCAAGACAAGAGTCTGATCAAGGCGGCGTTTATTGCCGGCAAGCACCGGCCTTTTAAAGCAAAAAACCACAAACTATTATGGGATGGGTTTACCATAGTAACTGAAAGGTCACACAGGAAAAGAGCAAACAGGTTCACCAAAACAACCCACCGTGAGTAGTAGTAACCCGGACAACCACACATCTAAAGGTCAGAGACAAGAAACTGTTAACTTTCAGGAATTCCACAAAGGAAACACTCTACCTGCTAAACTGGAGAAACAACACATATGGAGTTACTAGAGTTAACGGTACTTACAACCAATACTCATGATCCCCACATGTGTTTGTACGTGTGCATGCATAAAGTGAGGGTATAATTTTATCATTTGCCTATTGATATCCAATTATATTCACACTAGATATTAGAAAGACTATTTTCCTCTATTGAATTGCCTTGGCATCTTTATGGGAAAATTAATTGACCGTAAATGTAAGGGTGTATTTCTGAACAGTCACTTCTCTTCCTGTAACCTATCTTTCTATCCTTATGCTGATACCACATGGTTTTAATTACTGTAGCTTTGTAGTATGTTTTGACATTAGGAAGTAAAAGCCCATTAATGGTTCTTTTGATTTTAATTCATTCTGTTATTCAACCTCCAATAATAACTATGACACTTTTCAGTGATACTAATGAGAGAAATGATGATGAGATTAAAATGATGAGTTCATTTTATAAAGTTTATTTTTTGATGACATAATTTTGTATATTCATAAGGTACACTATGATACTTGTATCCGTATATACATTGGGTAATGATCAGATCAGGGTAGTTAGCTTCATTGGTTTTGTTTACAGCCTGCAGCATAACTTTTGTGTAATCTCAGTGGAGGCATATCTTTTTATTTGAAAACAAGTGTGATTTCCTGGCAATAATGGTAAGAGATGAAAGCCAAGTACAGTAAATAAAATGAGCTATTCAGTTTCATAATAACATTTTAGATAAAAATAATTACCATTTTGTTAAAAATCTTTTAAATAAAACATATATATTATAACACAAATCCATTCTGTTAATTGTGTATAGGCAGATAAGCTATGGTGACAGATATGCAAGTTTTAGGGTACATATTATATAAAAATAGTGGAATTGTGTTTTTTCTTTTATATTTGCAATTATATATGTATATTTTTTCATTTTAAAATTTATTTTTATTAGGATATGTTTGCCATACATAATGTTTAAATGTTGAATTTTTTTAAATTTACTAAACTCAAAACACCTGTCAGATTCTAATTTAATTTCTTGTTTAGAACAGTGATCAACACTTACAAAGTGTCTTCTTTCATGCAGCTTGCATTCTAGTTGGGAGAGACAGACAATACATAAATAATATGTAGATACAGACATATGAGATGGAGCTCTATGGAGGAAAATGTACAGGGTAAGGGAGAAATAAGAAGGTTATGGGAATGATATTTCATATAGAAAGATTTCTGTAATAAAGTGGCCTTTGAAGTAGTCAGGAGACCCTACAGACCTGTAGAAGAAAGAGTTTGATACATGCAGATTATAATATATACTTGCTGTGTCTACAGAATAATTGCTAAGATAGTTACTGAATCACATGCTCTCAGATTTGAAAGAACCTTTGAAATACATTAATTCTCAATTGTCTAAAAGTGACTATTTATTGTTTTCTTGAATATCATCAGTGAAAAAGAGCACATCCAAAAATTCATTCCTTGTTGGATGGCTCAAATCTGTAGAGAATCCTTTGGGGCCAGGGATGTAGCTCAGTGGTGCTGCGCCTGCCTCAAAAAATCCAAGGTCCTTACAACGTCGGAAAAAATTTTTACCAGCTGTTCCTCAGACAAAGGACTATTATCAAGGATATATAAAGAACTCAAAACAATCAGTCCCCCCAAATATAAAGACCCAATTCAAAAATGGGCATCCGAAATGAACAGACATTTCTCAGACAAAGAAGTAAAAGCAGCAAGTAAATATATGAAAAAATGTTCCACATCACTAATCATTCGAGAGATGCAGATGAAAACAACACTGAGATTCCACCTCACCCCACAAAGAATGGCTGCTATCAAGAAATCACACAATAACAAGTGTTGAAGGGATTGTGGGGAGAAAGGAACCCTTCTCCATTGTTGGTGGAAGTGCAGACTGGTGCAACCACTATGGAAATCAATATGGAGATACCTCAAAGAGCTTGGACTGGAGGTTCCATTTGACCCAGCCATCCCTCTGCTGGGTATCTTTCCAAAAGAACTAAAGGAATCATATCACAGAGAAGTATGCGCACCCATGTTTATAGCGGCACAGTTTGTAATAGCTAAATCTTGGAAACAGTCCATTTGCCTATCCATTGGAAGCTGGATAAAGAAGATGTGGTTTTTCTATAAAATGGAATATTACTCAGCCATAAAGAATGAGAAAATAGATTCATTCATAGGAAAATGGATACATATTGAAGATATACTCCTAAGTGAAATAAATAAGTCACACATGTGTAAATACCAAATAGTTTCCCTGGTGTGAATAATCTGCAATAATACATAAGATCCTAATAAGATTACTGACATTTAGAAATGGGAAGAAAGGAGCTAAAGGTGTAGGGAAGGTGGGATGGGTAGGGGAAGAGTAAAAAGGGAAAAGAAAAAAATGTGAGATAATGAAAAGATGAAAATAAAGTGTTTGTAGATGGGGAGGGGAGGAGGGAGTGAAGGGAGGGCAGGGGTAAGGGGAAAAAATGAGAATCAAGACTTGTCATGTAGAGGTACAAGATCCCAACAATGAATGTAACTGTACTGTATCCCTAAAATGTACCAATAAACTCAATTAAAGCTGAAAAAAAAAAGTCCAAGGTCCTAAATTTGATTCCTATAATGAAAAAAAAATCCTTCTTTGTGTTCAGTTTTAACTAGTTGGAAAACCAGCCTATATATTTTCAGTTTTCTCACTGGAAACGACTCAGAATACATAAAGTCTCATTTGCATTTCTTCCGAGAAATCTAGGTGTTTCATGAACGACTGTGGAAAAGATTCCAGAAGAAGCATTAGCATGTTTTGTTTTGAGGCAGAATCACTGAAAAAAAAATATTTCCTCTTGAGGACACTGCATTAAGA